CTCTTGGAGGTTTGTATGTGTCTCTCATAATTGCTACTTTATCTCTTGGAGGTTTGTATGTGTCTCTCATAATTGCTACTTTATCTCTTGGAGGTTTGTGTGTGACTCTCATAATTGCTAATTTTTCTCTTGGAGGTTTGTGTGTGACTCTCATAATTGCTAATTTTTCTCTTGGAGGTTTGTGTGTGATTCTCATAATTGCTAATTTTTCTCTTGGAGGTTTGTATGTGTCTCTCATAATTGCTACTTTATCTCTTGGAGGTTTGTGTGCATGTCTCTCATAATTGCTAATTTTTCTTTTGGAGGTTTGTATGTGTCTCTCATAATTGCTGCTCTGTCTCTTGGAGGTTTGTGTGTGTTTCTCATAATTGCTAATTTTTCTCTTGGAGGTTTGTATGTGTCTCTCATAATTGCTGTTTTGTCTCTTGGAGGTTTGTGTGTGTCTCTCATAATTGCTACTTTGAAGCCGGTTTCAGACCAATAAGAATGTGGCTCTTATGATTCTCCTCAAACTTTAAGTCACTTTCTGCTTATAATATCAACACGTTTTTCTTATTTAGCTTCTTTTTTTTTTCTTTCGTATCTACCATGTACGTAGGTCACTATTTAGCACTATTCGGGCTGAAAATCTATAATGGGACTGCTGTAAAACACTGTGCTAAAGATAAGCAAAAACAGTTTCGCGCCGTTTTATGTTGTAACTTAGAAACTTTAGTCCACGTTCAAAGTGAAATATTTATTTCAAATGATTTTATAATCACTAATTCTGTAGACATCCTGACTATTATTTTAAAAATATACTTACAGCGTGTACATTCTATCAGTACGAAGTCGTGTGCCTCATTCTAAATGTCATTCAGCATTCTATATATTCGCCATGAAATGCTGAATAAAAGAGTAAACACATTCCAATTCATGGGTTGAAATTAATCGAATTAATTTTTCCATGGAAATGCGTGCTGTTTTTTTTTGTCTATTTTAATAACGAACTATTATTAGTACCACAATGTTAAAATGCAATAATATTGTTTGACAGAAGTTGGTACTAAATTGGTATCCTAACATTGGAAAGCTTTATAAAAAATCGTAATATCTTGTTTCAATTCTCTCCCTGACCGTATTTTCCCAGTTGATGATATTCGAACAAACCACGGATTGTGTAAAAACGAAACGTCAATTTACCCGCTTTATTTTTAAAATAATACCAATGCCTTCTCCATGTCTTGAGTAAAAGACAATTTTATGGGAGTGATTCTTGTTTTATGGTAATGGAGGTACTGGATTAGTGAGTGAATTATTAAATGGTAAAGAAAGCCTGAACGCTAATGGCCGGAGATGGGTCACATTTCCGTTAACTTAACTCTGCAAGTACTTGATTTCCATAGATAAAAAAAAAAAAATCCATAAACTTCAGCTACTACATGATTTCCGAAGCTAGTTTAAAACTACGCGAGAAGATTGGATTCTGGTGATTGTGACATCTCTCATGTGATCATTTTTCAAGGGTATTTGAAATTAAAACTAAGATACAAATAAAACAACGAAACAATAAACGTAATCCAGAGCTTAACTATACATTACGACGTGGCTGACCCCCAGAAGCACAGCGGACTTACAACGGTAGAAACCGAGTTTCGATACCCGTGGTGGGCAGAGCACAGATAGCCCATTACAAACAAAGTACGACCATTTCTACAGTACTAATTTAAAGTTAAACTTATTTTAAACGAATCTGGTTGAAAAATATAGGAAGTCGAGTTTAAAACATCTATAAACTATTTAATACGAGGGCGTCTTATGACTAACCATGATTGTATACTCAGAGTAACAGTGGTGGGAGGATATTTGATAATACTGAACATTTACATGTTCCAATTCTGACTGTTCTATAGATATGAGAGCTTCGTAAACTGTTCTTAAAAACATCCCATTATTTGCATAAATACATATATGTTACACCATATTTGAATGTAATGACAGGTTCGTCACTTTAGAATGGTAATAACGAAGCAAATAATCGCAATCCAAGTGCAATTAACAGTCTTTCGAAGTAAGCCTACACTTACGACTCGTACACACAAAGGAGTTCATTAAAAAAGAATATTTATTTAAAATGTTTTCTCTCTCTCCTTTTTTAAACTTTATGCTTATCTTATGATAACATGATGTAATATTTGTGACTTTGCTTATCTTGTGATAACATGATGTAATATTTGTGACTTTGCTTATCTTATGATAACATGATGTAATATGTGTGACTTTGCTTATCTTGTGATAACATGATGTAATATTTGTGACTTTGCTTATCTTGTGATAATATGAGGTAATATTTGTGACTTTGCTTATCTTGTGATAACATGATGTAATATTTGTGACTTTGCTTATCTTGTGATAACATGAGGTAATATTTGTGACTTTGCTTATCTTGTGATAACATGATGTAATATTTGGGACTTTGCTTATCTTATGATAACATGATGTATTTGTGATATTGTACGCATCCTTTTCTTACAAAACTGGATATTCCATGTGTCATCCTTGACATAAAATTCCCATTAAAATTTCCTTAATGTGAATTCTTCGTACTCACTAAATTTGTCCATAATCATTTAGCCACCAAATCTTTGTTAAAATATTTTTATCCATTCAATGAGATTTTTTATTATTATAACATGATAAAAGTGGCAGGACGTACACTGTGTGTGTGTGTATGTGTGTAAGCGGTAAGCTAGCAATGCTCATTTGATACCGTCTAAAATCTTTGACTCGTTAACCTTTGCCCCCTCCCCCAGTGGTTCAGTGGTAATTCTGAAGGTTTATAACTCTAAAAATCTGGTTTCGACACCCGTGGTGGGCACAGCACAGATAGCCCACTGTCCTGTATTCTCGACTCCATTTGCTAAACTCACGAATTAATTTAAGACAATAATGGGCTTGTAAAAATTGAAATATGTAACCCGCTTTTGTAACCAGAGTTGTGAAAAATAGCAAAACTTTTTCATATGCAAAAACCTGTTGAAAATTCATGAAAGATGACGTAAAAAAAAGAAAAAGGCGTGTATCAAAACTTAATACATTTTCTTTTGTTTCAACCAAGGTAGATCTGTTTGATTACTACTTGCTTTCACATGTCATTAATTAATTATATGAAATATTGTTTATGGTCGAAGATAAGGAGGAGATAATATTAAGTTTATATACAAAGACGTTATTAACATGCTAACAATCAGTTTCGTGAAAGAGTAATTTGTTCATTCTGTACTTATTATTACAAACGTGGAAATTTTGACAAAATTTACTCCCGAATTTCATGCATTGTCTTTATTTTCTCAATAGGTTCGTGGAAAACGGTAAGATGGTGTGTTTTTAAAAACTGTATAAAGAAGAACAGAAGTGCCAGACCCGAACTGCTCACCTGAGCTAACTTCCGACTTGAAAGCTTTACGTCAGCAAGCTTTTATCCAATCACAGTGCTGTGTTTCCGCAAGTTGCCATGGTATCGATTGCGTTTTCGCAAACGGTAGAGGAAAAGAAAGGAGTCTGCTCAAGCTTCATTTCAGTGTTTAGTCAGGAGGAGAGAGCACGGGGGATCGAAGGGTTTCCCCTGAAACTTGCACCTCTATAAGACAGATTTCACCTCTCGCTCTAGCGCTATGAGATTGTTCGCAGTTTGAACTCTGTCAGCTATTACTTAAAGGTACTTTGCTTAATATTTGTTAACACCGTGAACATCTATAAGGCTAATTGTCTTGAACGTAAGAGATTTAGCATTTCCAAAAGTTTTAATTAATGGACACGCCTACATTTGTTTAAACTAGGTTCTTCGTCATATTTTGAGTCCAAAAACTCTAGCGTTAGCTTGGCGAGTGGTAGGAGATTTAATATTAACACTTCATGATGGCATCCACAATAGTTCTTGAAAATCCTGCTTGTGAGCCAATTAACAATACCACTGTCACTGACAGCAATACTTCTGCATGTAATATAACAATGGATATCATAAGCACCAGTACCACATTACCAGAACCATCTTTTTACCCAATGCACTATCGAATAATAGGAACTACATTTCAAGGCTTAATCTTTCTTACTGGAGTTCTTGGTAACATTATGGTTGTCATAGTGGTAACCAAGACCCGTAGCATGCTGACAACTACCAACTGCTATCTGGTTAACTTATCCTTGGCTGATCTCATGGTTCTGGTAGCTTCCGTACCCAACGAGGTTCTATCCTATTACTTGCTGGGAGACGAATGGATCTGGGGCAGAGCTGGCTGTGTTATCTTCATCTTTCTCCAGTATCTAGGCATCAATGCCTCGTCTCTATCCATCACAGCTTTCACAGTAGAACGCTACATTGCCATCTGCCATCCCATGAAGGCCCAGATGGTCTGTACCGTTAACAGGGCCAAAAAGATTATCATCGGAGTTTGGGTGGTCGCCTGCATCTACTGCTCCCCCTGGCTTTTCCTCACCAAGACTGTACCTATATTCTACAAGGGTCACGAGAATATGGAAACGTGTACTTTTGCCCTCTCCAGAGAACACTACCTGGGTTATTTCTTCGCCGATCTCGTTCTCTTCTACATCTTCCCGTTGCTGCTGTCCTGCGTGCTGTACGGACTGATAGCAAGAATCCTCTTCACCAGTGAATTTCCTAGAAAAATGGCCAAAGAAGGAAATCCTCCAAGTGATTCGGTGAAGAGCACCAACTCGAGTGCTAGAGTACAGGTAAAAGATGAAATTTGGTAATTATATCTGTAGTTATTGAACATTTCATTTCCCTTGTTGGTATACAATACAAGACACAAAGATTTATTGCTGAAAAAAAAGTAACTTTTTTTTACTAAAAAAGTTCTTTTCGACTTAACAGAAAAAATAATTTAAATTCACTCCCCTTTAAGTTACATAATTTAAGTACAGAAATGAAATGTATATTTAAGTATAAATGTTTTACGTTACATCTATCATTTTATTTGTTTGTTTGTTTTAAGTTAAGCACAAAGGTACACAATGGGTATCGAAACCTGGATTCTAGCGTTGTAAGTCCGCAGACATACCGCTGTGCTACTGGGGGGTCTATCATTTTGAACAAGAGGCTTAAGAGTGAAAGAAGCCAACAAAAAACTAAAAACACCATAGCTTAGAAAGAAAGTGCACAATGATCGAGATATTAAGAAACATATTATGATAGACAGATAAGGAGAGATAGATAGAACAGCCAAATTCTAACAAAGAAGAGTAATTTACATTGCAAAAAATCAGGGGTTCGGTTTCCAGCGATGTACAGAGGGCAGATAGCTTATCGTGTAAAAGAAACAAGCAATTATCAGCGATATTCGAATTTAGAATAAGACGCCTTAGTTAAAAACAAAAGAGCTAGAATCCGGGTTTCGATACCCGTGGTGGGCAGAGCACAGATAGTCCATTGTGTAGCTTTGTGCTTAATTACAAACAACAACAACAAAAGCAAAAGAAACAAGAAACCATTTTTTAAAAACATAACCTAGTTAAAAGCAAAATAACCCCCTAGTGGCACAGCGGTATGTCTGCGGACTTACAACGCTAGAATCCGGGTTTCGATACCCGTGGTGGGCAGAGAACAGATAGCCCATTGTGTAGCTTTGTGCTTAATTACAAACAACAACAACAAAAGCAAAATACACAAGAAACCATTTCTTTTATTAACACAAAGTATAGATTATCAGATCCTACTGGTTCCCAGATGACTCAGCGGTAAGTCTGAGGGCTTATAACGCTAACAATCAGGTTTTGATACTTGCGTTGGGCACAACACAGATGGCTCATTGCGTAACGTTGTGCTTAAAAACAAACAAATTCTACTGAATTCTATGGTGAATTATATCAAAAAATGATCAACAACGAACGTGGCCCGGCATGGCCAGGTGGTTAGGGCGCTCCGCGTTTTTCTCAAAATTGGAACTATAATTATTTTCTTGTTTGTTTGTAATTAAGAACAAAGCTACACAATGGGCTATCTTTGCTCTGCCCACCACGGGTATCGAAACCCAAATTCTAACGTTGTAAGTCCGCAGACATACCGCTGTGCCACTAGGGGGGGGCAATTATTTTTTAGTCAATATTTTGTATTTTATATTCATGGCTAAGCTACTGTGGCTATCTTCCACAAACCCTTATTTTGAACTACTGATCAGAGTAAAGACAACCCGTCAGCAACATCCTATGACCTATCGGCCATCCATGTTAAGAGATTCACAGTCACTCTTATAACACACACACAGCTTAAAATATAGAGAATTTTGTGTCATCTTATGGATTGGAACCCAACTTTCCAACTGAAATTTAGAGCTCTTCCACAGGACCAATCCGCAGTCTTCTCGTCAGTACTTTCAGGATTAAAAACACAGTTTTTAAACATTTTTATTGTTATTTTAAACTTTAATAGTATTTTAAAAGTTACTGTTTAAACGGCGAAAGCCGGAGAATGATTGGAAACTAATAGGCCTAAAATTGATGATAAAAAAAATCACGTTTAATGCAAACGTTTCTTGCTGTTGTTTTTTTTTTACAATGATTTTGAATCCATAATGGACAAAAGGGGGGGGGGGGAAGGAGTATAGGCGTGTAAAGATAGCGTTTTAGAAACTTTTATCGTCCTCATCGTACAGTCCAACTGGCGAATTATTGATAGTGAACGAATGTTTCTGGATGCATTGTAATACATTAAACGTTACAGGTTAAAAGCCGTAAGCCAGAAAAGCATTATGGACCATTAAGTCAAGAATTTGGGATAAAAAGCACGTTAACTGCAGGTGTTTTTCTTCCACATTTTTCTTAAATCGTCTACTGTGAACTGAAGACTAGACGAGTCAGTAAAAACATCATTTCGGGGACTGTCTTGTGCATCTCACAAGTCACTGCCTAAGAGCTCTTCACTGGCTCAGTGGTAAGTACTTATAATGCTAAAAACTGGGTTTCAATATCCGTGTTGGGGACAGCACAAATAGCTCATTGTATAGCTTTGCAGTTAACAACAACCAAACAAAACAAATACTGCCGAAGAGGCCTTTTCTTCAGTGTCAGAATTCGTCAGTTGGGCTAGACAATGAGAGACGAAAGGATTATTTTTTTACACTCCAGCCCCAGTAAGGTGTTTGTTTTTTGAATTTCGCGCAAAGCTATACGAGGGCTATCTGCGCTAGCCGTCCCTAATTTAACAGTGTAAGACTAGAGGGAAGGCAGCTAGACATCACCACCCACCGCCAACTCTTGGGTTACTCTTTTACCAACGAATAGTGGAATTGCCCGTCACATTATAACGCCCCCACGGCTGAAAGGGCGAGCATGTTTAGTATGACGGGGATTCGAACCCGCGACCCTCAGATTGGGTTGGCGGTGGGGGGAGATGACTAGCTGCCTTCCCTCTAGTCTTACACTGCTAAACTAGGGACGGCTAGCGAAGATAGCCCTCGTGTAGCTTTGCGCGAAATTCATAACAAACCGAAACCTAACCAAAAGAGGCATAGCATGAGATTGATTTTCTTGACAACTTTGGAGCACGTGGCGCTAAGGTTATCTTTCCAGGTGAGATACCTATCAAAGGTAATGTCGAAATATTTGACAGAACCCAAAAGGATCACGACTAGGTATACATTTTCTACGCTTAGGCCAAACATTATAACTGTAATTTTAGAGCTGTAGAGTGTAAGACGTCATATTTTACACCATTGGAGAAAAAGATAAATACCCTGTCGAAGAATCCTGTTAAGACTGATCATGGTGAAGCAAGTTGCAAGTAAGTCTGTGTCGTCTGTATACTGAATGAGATGGATAGGACAGCCAGGTTGTGTAACACCTGCAACATAGAGTACATGAAGTGAAAATGACGAAACATAACCTTGTGGAACACCTGCAATATACAGTACATGAAGTAAAGATGACGAAACATAACCTTGTGGAACACCTGCAATATGCAGTACATGAAGTAAAGATGACGAAACATAACCTTGTGGAACACCTGCAATATACAGTACATGAAGTAAAGATGACGAAACATAACCTCGTGGAACACCTGCAATATACAGTACATGAAGTAAAGATGACGAAACATAACCTTGTGAAACAACTGCAACATAGAGTACATGAAGTAAAGATGACGAAACATAACCTTGTGGAACACCTGCAATATGCAGTACATGAAGTAAAGATGACGAAACATAACCTTGTTGTACATCTGCAACATAGAGTACATGAAGTAAAGATGATGAAATATAACCTTGTAGAACACCTGCAACATAGAGTACATGTAATGAAGATGACGAAACATAACCTTGTACAAGGTTATGTTTCGTCATCTTTACTTCATGTACTCTGTTTGCAGGTATTCCTTGTACATCTGCAACATGGAGTACATGAAGTAAAGATGATGAAATATAACCTTGTAGAACAGCTGCAATGATATGGAAGGCTAGATATAAAGTGTTCTCCAGTGATATGAGAACCTGATGATCACGAAGAAAATAAGTTGTAAGTAGAACGTTAAGTGATAGGTAGTTTCATGAAGAGAAGTTTATAGACCAGTCCACAATGTCAAGTGGTATATGTTTTCTCAGAGTCAAAAAGCAGAAGATAAGAAGGGTGATTGGTATTAAAATAATAACATCAGACAACCCGAGGATGAAAAGTGGATGACAGAATCCTGGTTGAGATTTGGGCATGAGGTTGTTTTCCGAAAGAAAGCAGTATAGACAGAGAGACTAGAATACGCTCAAAATGTCCTGATGAAAACACACTTAAATCTAGTAGAACGATAAAAGGGCGCTAGTGAAGGAGGTGTTTCGGGCTTAAGAAACAAAAGGATTTTAAAAAGTTTCCATGAGTGAAAGTAAAATCCGAAAAAAATTAAATGATGGCAAATGAAGGAGGTAGTAGTAAATAGAATTTGCGAGGAGTATTCCGCAGATGGAATATGTAATGCTGTATAATTCAGATACTGTATTTCTATTGTTATCTAAAGCATAACGAATATCGGACACAGTGATAGGTGCATTTAGAAAATCATCATCCAGATCATGGGAAAAATTAGGAGAGAGTCCTAGAAGGTGGAAAATATCCTGATCAATATTATTATTAATAGCTTGACAAACAGATGGTTGAAAAACTGTTTCAAAATAATTAGCAAAGACATTGGCCTTTTCTAAGGAAGCAGGAGGAACAACGTTACGAAAAAGAATTGGATAGCGAGGAGAGTATTGGTAATTGGCCTGTTAGTAATTAAAATCGAGTCCAATACCGGGAAGGATAAGAAAGGGCACATAGTTTGGTGCGAGTTCTCATTTATGTAGTTTCTTTGTTGCAACAATAAAATTACGATCATTTCATTGAAGAACCTATGTTGCTTAAGAACCGTCGGTTCTCTCGAATGTTGAAATTGATGAGATTGGTGCATCAGTGAAATACCTTATGTGGTAAAAGAGGTTTGTGTAAATAATAACGAACATTTGGAATGTTTTGAGAACTGGCTGAAGAAATGGAAGATACAAGAGTATGAGCAAAATGACCAATGTCATCAGATGTAGAGGGGCTTGAATCAATATATTGAAGCTAAATGACCAATTTCATCAAATGTGGAGTGGCTTGAATCAATATATTGAAGCTAAATGACCAATGTCATCAAATGTGGAATGGCTTGAATCAATATATTGAAGCTAAATGACCAATGTCATCAAATGTGGAGTGGCTTGAATCAT